TTCTCCCACTTTCCAGCGATGCTCACTATCCGGTACGGCAGCAACCTCGCCAATGATCTCATGGCCGGGGATAATGGGGAATCTGTTGCCCATGATTCCGTAGCGAACGACTTGGTCGGAGTGACAAACGCCACAGGCAAGGACCTTGACCAAGATCTGAGAATGTATAGCTTAGTATAGAGTTGACGAGGTGAAAGGAGTGGACGCACTTCGCCCGGCTTTGGCAGCTCCAGTTTGACCTGCTTGAACTTGAGTGGTTCACCTGCGGCCTCGAAGAAGGCGACCTTGTACTCCTTGGGCAGGTTTGAAGCCATTGTGGGAGGAGAAATTGTTGATGGAGGTGTTGGACAAGGATTGGTGATGAAATGCGGGTTTATATAGTTGCCCAACAAACAGTGTTTTGAGGCTTGAGATTGAGAATGAGATAGAGATGGAAAGTGTTCAGCACATGTCCTTTCCTTTCAACGACATTTATACCCCTCTCTCTCACCAGCTGAAGGACGGCCTCGAATGAAAGCGGGCGTGGGAAGTTTGTTTGTGAGTGTCAATGATGATGTAAAGGGTTGCGGCAAAGTAAACTCCAGTAACTCCATCTGCGCATCTCATCTACACATCTGCCCACGCCTGCAGGTGTCTACCAATGCTACTCACTCGCTCTGATGCATCCTTCGCGAAACTCTGGTCTCCTACAACTTGTGGTTGGTTGGAACGAGGGGCACGGATGTTAGGGACGCTCGGAGATGGATTGCACCCAGCCCAGTCACGCATCTTTGCTTTTCTCCTCCCCCACTGACCACTTACGACTCACCTGTCTCGCCACCATCCACTCACAGGTCCTCACAGCCAGGAAGCGAACCCTTGTCTATCTCCGCGCCTCGGAAAACCGATTTTAAAAACCTACCGCTTTCAGACAAGTCTGAAACACCCTTTCGAGACTGGCGCGAGTGGAGGCGGATTTTAGACGCAGCCAGGCTGCTTGCTGCGGCGCTCGGCCGTTTTGAGGAGAAATATCCATATTTGAGAGGCCGTATTCGGTAGTCGTATTTTGTCGAGTTGGTGTGGGATACGCTGATCAATCCATTCTTGCAATTGATACCAGAATAACCCTGTTCTTCCTGTTCATTCCCAGCGTGCGGGTTATTGGACACAATCTACAAGAGATGGCTCCGAGTGCTCTGGTCCTCGGGTTTTACTTCAGCTCGAGTGCCCGAGTTGTCCAGGACATAAAAATAATCATTGCTAAAAGGTAAACCCTGGCTTTCAAAAGTTTTAGACTACATTGACTTTGAATTGTCAGTCCAAATTACTGTCGCAGACTGAGAATGCCAGGATCAATCATCACCACAAATGTCATCTAAAGTGCGTCTCATCTGACAGCTTGCCACCAGCTTGAGGACGACTTCCAGACTCAAACTGCTCCCTGGCCAACGAACCGCGAATCATGGAGCTCACATCGTTCTCCGTCGTGGATCTCGTCAGTGTCGTTCCGGGGAAGCAGAAAAATACAAGTATCGACTGCCGCTGCGTCAGCCGCGCATGAACAACTACCCCTTGAAGGCACATTGAAGCAGGCCCCGGTAACGACATGGTTTGACAGGCTGTGCTGAAGAGCCGGACGGTCAGGATTTCGGCAGCACCCTGGCAAGCACACCCTGGACACTGGACACCGGGCATGGACTGCCAATGACACTGAGAACTCGCCCAGAAGTCAGCTCTTGTCTCCGTCATTCGTGCCCTTAACTGATCAGACGAGAACGGCGACGACATGCCTGCTTGCGAATCAACATTGTGGTTGTAGATACAGCAAGCCCTAGCGGACGTGCGATCCAGGCTGCCCAATTCACGGCTTGGGCTGGGGCTCTCTGACCATGCAGAACAGGTCGCACACATCCCCTCCCTCCTCGCAGACCATCTTGCGGGCCAGTCGAAAGCCCATCTTCTCATATATCGCAATGTTGGGCTTGTCCCTGGAAGACTCCAGATAACACTGGCGGCCTTCTTTGTCCGCCATGTCGGTGACAATCTCGAAGAGTTGGCGCCCGATTCCTTTTCCCTGGGTGCCCGGCCTGACGGTGACAATGTTGCAGAAGTAGTACCCTTCCGGGTCAGTCCAGATTTCTGACTGAGCAATGGCCTGCTCCCGCTTCCAGATCCAGTACCGATTCGTCCTCAACCCGCCACGGCCCTGGTACCGGAGAAGATTCCACCCCTGCTTGAACCAGAGGACGTAGTCGTCGATCCACTCGGACCATGTCTGCTTCTGGTTGATGTTTCGGGGCTTCATCCACATGCTGACTCCAAGCACTCTGCCTTCTTTGTCATCTGTGTCCTTGGCCACAAAGAACAATGCGTTGCGCATCCCCCACTCACATTTTGCCTTGAGACTAGCAAAGTTGCGCTCCTTGTTGAACTTTGCACCGTCAAAGACCCACAGATGATAGGGATCGTCGGCGAATGCAAGCTGGATGCATTCCACCGCCGAGGGAATGTCTGCTGAAGTGATGGGGCGTATTTCAATGCCCATATTGCTTGTCTATCGGGTGAAACTCGTGGGAACCTGGTTTGGCTGTATATGTAGGCTGTGATACTCCTCTAGATGACGTTGCCTTGGGTCTCGAACTGCCATGCAGGACTGTAGTTGGACAATATGTCAGTGTTCTGATTGTATGCGACTTCAGTCCTGTGCCAGCTCGGCGTGAGGTTAGAGAAAAGATCGAGGTTGTGGGTTAGGTTGCATTTGTAGATAAGAGTCGGCATCATCGGTGGCTGCTGAGTGGATTTTTCCGAGTCCAGTCGTATTCGGATAAATATAGCCCCGCATCCCGGGACTCTCCTTCTTCCGATCATTTCCTCTTCTTGCCTTCACACCTCACTTCATACAACGTCCTCCTGCTTTCTATCGACAGCAGCGTCGTCGTCTCTTTGCGGTGGCACTTGGCGTCATGTTTGGACAACAGGCCTCGCCCTAGACCATCGCCAAATCGACAGGGAATCTTTACTGCTTCTTGCTGACCGCTACGTTCCTTGGAAAAGGAGGGGTAGACCTCGTATTTGCTCGCCATCATCGCATTCTAGGCCCAAGTCGATCAAATCATGTGTCTCCCGCTAAGGCTGTGGTATCTGGGCCCAAAGGTCCCCTGGCCATGTGCTGGGATGTATGCTGCTCAAGAACAACCTTCCGTTGGAGAGCTCTTTCTTTCTCGTTCTATCCGTTGTTTGGTTTGAAAATCGTCGCCTCATCCTCTTTTGCCATGTCTTGTTTCCTCCCGCTGTCGTTGCTACTTCTTGTTGAATTGGCGTGTTTGGTCGCGACTATCCAGGTCACCGCTCCGGCTGAGGGCGAAACCTATTCTCTAAATCCCCGTTCGAGCTCCATCCAATGGGAACAACAGGCGTGAGTGCTCTCAAAGATCGTGACTGATCAGACCGATTTTGACTTTTTATTCCATAAGCGGCGACCCTGCCGAATGCGATATTTGGCTTCGGAAAGAAGAGGGAGAACAGATGACATATTACTATTTCGCCCATGTATCGGTGCCGGCGTGCCAACTCGATTTCTCGGCTTGGCCCGCGTCTCTTATGAACGAGTCTCGCTCACTGATCCCGTACGACTCTCCCGTCATGGAGATTTTGATGTCGTTCTACTTGGAGGTGTCTAATGTTTGCATAGGGGCGAGTACTGCTTCGCCTTTGTTACCACGGCTGCTTCTGCCAAGGAGGGCACCTTTCTAGCACAGTCGGCAGACTTTGTGATCCAGGATGAAGAGAGATCCAAGGTAAACATAGACAGATGAGTCCATGCTCCATCCAGTATCTCGGCCGACGCGAGTGATAACCTCTCAACCGCCACGGCAGGACCTGTCCACTGGGGCACAAGTCGGCATCGGCGTCGGCGTGGGCGTTGGCGGTTTAGCCATCCTCTGCCTCTGTGGCTACTACTACATGGTCGTACGACGGAAGCGACACACGCAGCGGAGCAGGCAAGAAGCATACTCCAAGCCCGAGTTGGAAGGCGATCATCATCATCACCACCACCACCAGGTCGCAAACTTTTCCCGACCATTTTCCCCTTCCGCCGCCGCAAAGGCCGAGCTTTCATCCACAACCACTACGACGGAAAAGGGCGTGCTGTCAGAACTCGCCTCGACCGAAGCCATGATTCACGAATTGCCGGGCAGCACGCGCCAGCCGCATGAAGCAGGGACAGGGACGAGGACAGACGCCGGGACCAACACCAGAACCGACGACGGGAGTGGCACGGTGGTGGGTTCTAGCGACCGAAACCGAGTTTCTTGACCCGTCGGACGAGTCATGAATGTTCTGGTCATCATCGAGTCTTTTCCTCCTCTTCTTCCCCTCTCTCTCTCCCTCTCTGTGTGTGAGATCTGGAGCTGGAGACCTCCTATACAACCAAGCACCGTCACAATCATACTCACAATCCTACACGTCTTCCCCATTTCCAATTCCAAGTTCCAAATCCTCTCACTCTGTCCGGACACTTAGCCACAAGAAAAGAAAAAAAAAAGGGTCTCGTGGCGCGGTATGCATAGCAGACTGAAAACTAAAACTGAAACTAAAGGTGGCCGTAACCGTGAGCGTGTCCGCGAGCGTGGTATATGTGCGTCTCCTCTTATCAAGCAAGCAAGTAAGGCTTGCTATTACTATATCCAACATGACCGAATAACAAGTGACAAGGCGGTACGAGTAAGCTGTGAGGTATTCGAGGTATTCGAGGTATTCGAGGTATTCGAGGTATTCGAGGTATTCGAGGTATTCGAGGTATTCGAGGTATTCGAGGTATTCGAGGTATTCGAGGTATTCGAGGTATTCGAGGTATTCGAGATAGGTAGGTAGATAGGTAGCTAGTATCGTGGTATCATGAATCGCGGACTCGCTGAATCGGTTCCAATCAATCCAATCCAATCCAATCTACACATCAATCTATATGATAATGGATCCGTGCAAATCTCTCCCAAGTTCAAAAAGGAATCACCCCTTTCTTATAACTTGCTACCACTACCGCCGCTACTACCAGCCTTGTCAGTTCGAGCCTCTTCCGGCACCGACAAGCTTTTGGCGTTCCCAAAGACCTTGTTGACCATGTCGGTTGGAACCCTCACCATGCCGTCCTGCATGGAGGTGCCGATGACCCTGCCGGTGTTGGGGTCCCAGAGGAGACTGTGGTGGCAGCCCCGGTTGTCGGCGCCGTTGCTGGTCCACGACTCCTGGACAAACCACTTGGAGGGCCTGTCGGGCTTGCTGTCGTCGACCATGCGCAGGTGGTCGGCCAGGCCGTGGAAGATGACCGTGTGCGACAGCGACGCCATGGTGGTGCGGACGGCCTCGTACCCCAGCGCGCGCTGGATGAGGAAGAGCGAGTTCCGATCCGACGCGTACAGGTGGGCCGCGGCGTGCAGGTTCACGTCGTTGGCAGCCTCATCCCTCTCCCTCGCCTCTGCCGGGTCGTCATCCTGGTAGAGGCGGTAGAAGAGCAACTGGCGCCAGCGCGGCGCTTGCTCTCCGTTTGGTCTACCCCCGGGTTCCACCTTGTCGTTATACTTGGTCATGTCGACCCTTCGGGTTTCCACCCCGGGGAACGCGGCCGCGCTCTTACTCCAGAACTCTTTCTCTTCCAGTTCCCACCAGAGAGCGTCGGCGCCGGGTGCCAGGGGATGGTCTTCCGGTTTGAGGCCGTCCAGGACACTGTGGTATTCCCTCTGGAGGTGGTCCTTGGGCTTCTCCTGGTACTCGAAGTCGGTCCACTTTTTGATGCCCTTTTCCGATCGCTTGAACGAGACGGTGGCGACAAAACACGGCGACGCGCCCTGCCCGGCGTCCTCGGAGTGTTGATAGACGTCGACCCCTCGCAAGCAGTACATGCCGCCATCTCGGATCTTACGCACGCGGTACACGTACGGGATGTCAATGGCGCCGGGTAGGATAAAGTACCCAGTCATTTGCTACCACTCCCGAAGGGACACCAAAGCCGTCAACAACAAGAAACGAGACCCAACAACATCAAACTCAAGCTGGAAATAGGGGGTAAAAGGGAACATACATGAACCACCAGCCCCGGCTCGACGGTCTTGCTAGCAGCATACATGGCCTGGGCGTAGACATGACCCCCAAATGCTCTCCGAAACGGGGCCGGCGGCCAGGCTGGGGTCAACGATTCGAAAACATTATCGTCAACCCTTTTCAAGGCCATCAGCCGCCGAAAAGAGATGGGCTTGTTGCCCTGAAGCACCTCAAACCGGGTCGTCGACATGGTTCGTGCGGGTCGTTTACCGAGGAGGGAGGGGGAGACACATTGACGAAACGGAAGTGAAGTCGAAAGACGAGCGATACGCATGCATGCAACAAAGCAAGCAAGGGAGTAAAGCAAGCGTGGCGGACGCGATGTCGGATGGATCAGATCAGACCAGACCAGAGTAGATCAAATCCAATGGCTCTTCTATCCACTAAAACGCCATTGCAGGTTAGCTTTGTACGTTTTTTTTTTTTTCAAATTCAACCCAAGCTCCTATTTCCACACGAATAGACAAAACCAAAAAAAATAATTAAAAACAGCAGAGCGAGGGATCAAGGAAAGGTAGGACAGAGAACGCCGAGGAACTCGCGAACGAAACGCAGGATTCGTAACAAATGTTCGGTATTGGGATAGGTCGCGTATAGGCAGGCGAGCGACAGCAAAAAAACAAACCTCGGCAATCATGGGAGAGCGAGACGATTTCCTAATCTGGAACGAGGCTGAAAAAGGGAGGGTGTAAGGATGAGGATGGAAAGGTGTGGTGGGTGGTGCTGATAGGGTGATAGGCTCGGACTCGGCGGCGCTGGACAGCTTGAAGACGATTGACAAATGAGACAAACAAGACAAACAAAGACAGACAGAAAAACAACCATGTGAAAGGCTGTCTACCGCTACCACATAGTGAGCCTGTAGTAAAATAGCATGACATCATCGGCAACCTCCATCACAACCATAGCCTTGGCGACAGCGTCATTGAATCCAACCACCAAGTCCTGTCTACATGAGTTCGGAGTTCAGAGTTGAAATACACAAGACGAGCCGGCAAGGTCCAGGATTTAAGAACACCGTTCAACCGCGTTGAAGTCTCAAGAAATATAATATCTCAACAACCCCCCAAATCAACGAACGTTTTTGAACTCAACAACTGCAAAGTCAAGACACCAGACCAGACCAGACCAGACCAGACCATCTGAGATATAACTTCACCATGTCGACAGACCAATCCTCCGCCTCAGAGTCCCAGGCCTCAATGCTCGGCGGCCACGTCAAGGTAACTTATCTTCCGCCTAATCACATCTATTCACCTAACCAAAATGAAACGCAAGTACGTCCAAGGCGCCATCTCCTCCGCCGTTGGCTATGACTCGGGCGAACAGACAAAAGCCGAAGCCGTGCAAGAGATGAAAGACGCCAAGGCACAATCAACTTCCACCACCACCCCTCAGCAACAGCAGCCTGCACAGTCGTCGATATTGGGCATGGTGGAAAACGCCGCGGGCAAGGTTACGGGTTGCGAAGGCATGGTCGACGAGGGCAAGAAGAGGATACCGGAGAAGCGGGGCATCGAGGAACAGAGTGGGACAGGATGAAGCTTCCCCGCCCCCCAAGTGTGACTCTGCGCAAAAGAATAGGCAAAGAGAAGTGCCTGGTCGGGAGATATACCAACGGAACGAGACCTAGGGAGCAAACAATCCACAAGGAAACGCAGATGAAGGGGCCCTTCGAGCACACAAAGAAACTCTCCTTTCACACCCAGTCGACAGAGAATTCTAACCCCTCCACCAGAACGGAGGATTCCTTTGCTGCTGTGGCTTTTGATTTATCAAGTAAAAAGACTGATATAACTCCCTCAAAGTCCTGAGAGCCCACAGCGGGCCGATATAGCACCAGAACGATTCAGTCTTATGCTGAAGTCAAACTGTTTGATCATTTCAACTTGTAACCAAGTCCGTGTTCGTGTTGTCTTTGTATCCGGATTTCTCTGTGTAGAAACAAGATCTCCTAGGCACCATACATTTCCGTTTGCCGGACGTAAGCTCAGCCTGCTGATGCCTTATCCCGCCCTCAAGCTAATGGATGTCTTTCCGAGATTGGGATGTGCTTTCCGATAAAGGTGTCGGTGGTTGATCCTCCAGCGGCTGTACAGCCAGTTTGAGCTCGTTGTATCGTATCGTGTCGTGTTTCGTATCTCATGTCTCATCTCATGACCTCTTCACCTCCAGTGGTCTGATTTTCCAAACATGGAGGAACTTTTTCATCGAGTCGTCATACCCCAGTATTACTTCTCGACTTCGGCAATGGCACCTCTCCGTTAGCTGCCATTTTCTCAACAATCACGCTTCCCTCAAGCTCTTCATCCTCGTCTCTCATCCTGACGTCCTCATCGTCTAACAGATCAACACCATCTTTACCACGGTGAAGGTCGAGAGAATCCCAGTCCTTACCTAGAGTTCCTTCGGTATCGGCATCGGCATCGACGTCAGAGTGCTTGTAGGAACTGCCATAGCGATCCTTTGCTCTCTCTCGGGCTCTTATTTCATCAGCATCAGGCTTCACCCAGCCCCCATCCGGTGATTCGCCCAACCCCATGTGGTTGGCATCGGGCTTCAGAAATGTCGGTCCAGTGGACGCGAGGTACCAGCCCCGATCGGTCCACTGCGCGATACACTCTTTTGCATACTCTCCGAGGGCGTAGAATCCCGGGTTATCTCGTGGAATAAACATGGAAACGTGCGCTGTAGTCTCGTCCGAAGCCTTGTCGTTGACAGCTTTGATCCATTTGAATCCGTTTGATGTTTCTTGCATGGTATCTCTGCCTTCTTTTCGATCGCGGCTGACATGCACGGGTAGGTTGCAGAATGTCCTCTCCCTGCCGGCCAAGGTTTCCGTGATGCCATATCCGCCACTGGCTCCCTTCCCAAGATTGGTGTACAGATTTGCGCATCCAGCTCCTCGTTCTTTGCATTCCTGTTCCAAAGACTCGACCCGCTTACGCAGGTGCTCCGGCTTGAACAGCTCCCCCACAAACAGCAAGTGGTCGCTAGCCCATTTCCAACCAGCACTCAGCTTCTCGCGTTGCGAGTATAAGGCTGCGGCACCGCCTGCGACTACCGCGCCAGCCGCACCAGCGAACATTGCGTACTTCCCCCAAGCTTGCCATTTAGGGGCAGCTGCCGCGTCTGCCGTAGAGGAAGCTGGCGCTGGTAGGGCGCCAATGGATTTGGCGCCAGAAGTCGACGAGGTCGACGAGACATTGGGTTCGGACTTGGAACCCCAACCAAACATGGAGGCAACTTCGGAGTAGGTGTTATAGGCGTTGGCGACGACTTTGTGCCCGCCCTCGAGTCCGTGGGCCACCATCCCCGGAGCCAATCCAAGGAAAGGGGTGTCGAAAGCCAATACGCCTTGGATATGAGGGAACATGAAGTTATGAGACATCGGATCCGGCTCATGGTGCGATGGTGTTGGATGGGAGGTGGATGTTGTTGAACCCAATGTCGTGTTGGAAGGAAAATTTCGCCGTTCGGGATTTTGCGCCGAAGATCGCGCTGGGATGGGTTGCTCACTCGCGAGTTGCAGGTACGTCTCGGCTGCGACAATGCCACCCATCGAGTGGCCGATCAGTATGACATGGACCGAAGGATCCACGGTCGGAGATGGAGTCGAGCGCGCGACCTCTAGATCGATGACCTTGTTTTGGAGCCTGCAATCATGATCTCTTTCAGTAGGGCGCTCCGCGGTAGACAGACAGACTCGCACAGCATACCATTCTCGAAACCGAGCCACACAGTCTCTGAGCTCGCCCCGCGTCTCGAATTTGGGATATGTCACAGTGACGACATCGATGTTCGGGAGGGAATGGCTCACGAGCGCCCGCAGATGTTCTGGGAAGACAGCAAAGGTGTCATCGCCGCCCTAAAGAGGGCAGTATCAGTATCCTGAGACCCAAGGGTACTGCAACAGAGAGAAGCGATACGGTCGGCGTCACAAGGTCGCATTCTGTCTGCTGGGTAGAAGACCGCATCCTCCCTCGCAACGAACTTACTTTGAAGCCATGGATAAACACAAGGAGTAGTGTCTTGCGCATCCTTGCAAAAAGGCTGCTCACATAGACGCTGCATCGTTTGTGATGAGCCTTAGGTTCCGTTGGACACCATCCCTACGAGATGGCTCTATGTGTCGAGCTTTACTTCACCTCGTTGTCTCCTTCCGCAGGATCAGAGAAGAGCCGGTGAATTACTGAGCCAGATTTATGGTGAGAGTGAATTGGCTTGGCATGCATCACCTGATCGTAAGGGGATCAAGATGACCGTCGGCCTTTCTCGTGTTCGTGTTACAGGAGTGTCACAAATTATATGAAAACAATTCGAGGGTTCATCAAGCTTTGGATTTCGATCGACTTGCTCAATCCCTCGCTGTTGGCCTCTCCCACGCATTGGGAGAGCCAAAGTCTTGTTGTCCAGTTCATGCTGGATCTTCTAGTTCTGTACACTTCTTTTGTCTTGTTTAGACAAGGTATTCTGAGCCTGCCGTATGTTGCCATAATACCATCTAATCCCAGCGCCATTGAAATGCTTTTTCGCTAAACCCAGTGCATGGAGCACAAAAATAATCAAAACAGAGTCCGCCGAGCTATGCATGAGAAGGGCGCCATGCTTTCTGCACGGCCAAAGAAATCTACAGTGTCGAGGAACCGACTGCTAGAATGGGTATTGATGTTGAGTAATAGGCGTGGAAACATTGCTATGCTGCCAACCATCGGGATGAAAATTGGGGAGTGGTCCAATCCGGCGCTCTGTGTTTGCTTTGCTCAAAGGATGGTAGTGGATCTGATCAGCAGGAATATTCCTGACTGGCATCTGTAAAGCAGCCGATGGTGGTGGTATCAAAAGTGTGTTGACATGACGGACTGGTCGATATGGAGACGTGCGATGCGTCAAGAAGTATGAGGGTGATAGTCCCGGTAGAGTAGGAGTAGTGGTAGTGTACCCGTTGGATGGTGATGTGTGTGCTGAAGGCAGGGTGTTGATAGCTCGAGAACCATCGCCTAGGTTGGGAACGGGATTTTGGAAGAGGGACTGCGGTACTGCAGATATCGGTGTGACAGGATGAGAATAGGTACCCGTTGTGGGTGGATACACGGTCGACAGTGCTCTATTCGTCTGAACCGGGAATAGGGAGGTTTGAGGATTTGAAATCGGCAGAGAGGGAGGTGGTCTGGGAATGTCCAGCCTTGGGATCTCCATCAATGTTGCCGGAACGCCAGTGTTTGCCACGCTGGAGGAGTGTGTTGGAGAAACTCTCAAAGTACCTGGATTGTACGGATGCGAAATTCCTCTACTGCCAATATTGTCCGAGAGCTGGCCAGGGAATTGTTGCCTTTTTGCTGGAGGGAGCTCGGCAGAATAGTCGGCACTCCGTTTTCGCTCCTGTTGATATCCTCTCAATCCAACTTGTTGCCGAAGTGGTGAGCTCGGAAGTTGCGTGGCTGTAGATGCAGGATGTGGTAGAACAGGGTAACGACTGTTGAGCGAAGGTGAGACACCATACGGACTGACACTGTGATGAGTTGAAGGAGGTGAGGGCAACTTTTGGGGGAAGCTCTGAGTGGTGGGCGTGACAGGAGTGACGCCATTCGCTCTGCTCTCATCAACCAAGGGGAGCTTGGAGGCTTTGTCGTAAAACGCGCCAAACCTTCCCAATTTGGATTTCCATTCACTCCACTCTTCAGCCGAGGCGTAGAGGGCGTACCGCATATTGCTCAGAAATTCGACTTCCATGATGTGTATTTCAGTGACTGAAATGCCAGAAACCTCTGCCCACGTCTTATTCGTGTATGTGTTGTCGTCCAGAAACTTATTTCCCAACATTAGAGCAATAGTCAGTAGTCGAAACTCACTGCCACGCTTCCCGCTCACACTGGGGTTGAATCGTTTGAGGCGATAGATGAATAATAGGGCGAGTAGAATTACGTTCTTCCCAACCTGAGTGGTGCTGATGATTGTCGTCACCCATTTTCGGAAGCCGATGGCCGGTACGGCATCAGGAAGCAACCCTCTATCGACAGGTGCATCCTCTGGGAGATTTTCCGCGTATTGAAGTGTAGACCCTGTTTCGAACCAGAAGAGACATGTGATCTCTGCAGCAAACTCGGCCAGACTCCCTTTGCTCTTGTTCACTGATTCTGGGATTTGAAGGTGAGGTGCGATGGCATTCACGCTGTTCTGATCGGAGGCTCGATGGTTGTATACGCTCATCCCATTTGTCGGAGGTGCTAGAGCATAGACATGGTTCACTGGCGCTGGTGCAGCAGCTGGAGTTCTGCGTGGACGAGAAGCGTTGGCTCCGTCTGGCAACCCACGGTCCTGCTGGAAAGTAGGTGGAGGAAGTGCAGCATAGCTGCTACCCACAACTACTCCCGGCATGGCCCTTGACCCTGGAGGCGTGGGCAAGCCGCTGTTGAAATAGGTCTCAGAGTTATTCCACCTTTTGCACCCATATGCCGCTGGGTCTTGCTGAACCGCTGGGTTTGATATCGAGGTCGACCGATCCGAGAGGCCAACAGCACTGTAAATGGTAGACATGGACAACATGAGCGGTAACGTTACGGTAAGAGGAAAAAGGTCGAGGGTGGAAAAGTGGTCGGTGTTAAGCAGTGTGAGTTGGAGATGACGGGTGCGGCAAGAGCATATCGCCGATCCAGGTGAGGATGAGAGACGGACGCTGGTATGGTGAAGGATCAGGCAGACTTTTTGCAAAGAGGCTTATGTGAAAGCAAGGAAAGAATAGTAATGTTCCCTGGTGACAGAGAACATTACAACGAAACGAGGATCAAGAACAATTCAAGTGAGGAGCATGGTCGATGTTTTGGAGGCTTTTGACAGAATTGGGGGTTTGGAATGAAGGCAAAGGTATGAGAGAGGGTGGGTCCCGGATGTTTGGCAACATGAGAGGGCAGAGAGGACCTTCACCCACAAGGTCCTTTCAAACAGTGACTGTCCGAGCCCGGCCCAACTCAATCAGAGGGGACAGGATGATGATACACTGGAGCAATCAAGAACGACAAGAACCGTGATTAATGACTTGAATCCACGCGACGAAAGCAGTCAGCCGAGCAACGTACCCTTCGGCAGCCAGAGTTTGTGGCGGCACCAGGCAGTTGGACCGATGGAAAGGATCATCTTGTATTTTTCGCCCATCAGAGCCTGCATCGGGCATGGACGCGCCGTAACTCACTTTCCCAGGAACACCGGGGCCTTGTCTTGGATCGAAGGCGGTTCGAGGCTCGGCTGTAAAACCGTCAAGGGCCCTTTTTTCCCCGTCGTAAGGTTGACGAGTCCGGTTGAACCCAGTAGTTTGCAGGCAAGGGAAACGGAGACGACTGCAAGAGCGAGGGGGAGGGGGGGAAGGGAAAAAAGAAGAGCAGGAGCGAAGCAGTAGTCAGAAGGGCCAGGCAAGCCGCAGAAGTGGAAGGGAAGCTACGACGGCGGGCTGGGTACGCGCTGTGGCCAGCCAATAAGAAAGGAGTATTAGGGACAAAAAGATGGAGCGACAGGAGCAGACTGGCGCACGCTGGCGCAATGATTGCCAAAGTGGACTAAGACGGGCTGGCTGGCGGAGGACAAGTTTACAGTCAAAAAGAGTGATGGGATGTTTTGGAAAGAAGAAGGATGGCCTAGGATGATGATGATGGATGGGGATGGGGGTTTGGTTCGGTTTGGTTTGGTTTGGTTTGGTTTGGTTTGGTTAGGTGGGAAAGGGGGGGCGGCCAGGGAAAAAGCCAACGGGAAACGGGCAAACGGGGGTGGTCAAAAAGTGTGTTCAACGGCCCTGGGTTTAAGGTCCAGGTCAAGGTCTGATCAAGGTCATGGTTGTGGTTGTGGTCATGCACAAGGTCATGTCACGGTGATGAGCAATGAATCGCCGGGCATGCCAAAGCGAGACAGGAGGGGGGGCAAGGGGAAGGGAAGAAAAAAGATGTTAAAATGGCCACCGCCAATTCCATCCATGGTGATGGGACGATGATGGGGACCATGGAGACTACCGAGTAGCAGCTGAACAAAAAACTTGACCGCATTTAGCTCGGCATCAATGTATCGTATCAGCATCAGCGTGCCAGCGATCCAAAAGTTTTAGCCTTTTTTCCCTTCCCCCTTGGGCTGTGCTGGGTGGTTCTGGTGGTGCAGTGCAGTCAAGTGCACTGAATAATGTTGCTTTGCCCGTGTGGAGTGGTCTATCAAAGGTAAGTAACAGGGTTCAAGAGACTTGCACGACTGGTCAGTACTAGTGACATGGTTTACGGGTGACTAGGTATTTTCATCATGTCGTGTGTGGGAAGGGGGTCACTGGTGGTCCTAACATACATAGTACCTACATATTTTCAAAGCCTTGGGGAGGTCCAAAGGGGCCTCGCAAGGGATTGATAGGGGGAAGAATGAGTGGATGGGGCCGTGGTCTCTGTCATTGCCATCATCTTATTCGCCTTCGCCTCGGGGAGAGGGGGCTGTTGATGCAAACCCACCCTAGTCTTGAAAGTGCAGCGAAGCCATCCGATGATATGACAAAATACCACCGCAAGTTCCGGATACATGATGAAGATGGAGTCCCGTTGCGAGGCGAGGCACGGGGGACATGCTTGGTGGTTAATGGGGTTACAGGAGGAGGCACGGAGACTGGGTAGCTCCAGCAGAATAAAATTGAGACACTCTGACACTCTGGCCGGACTAACCAGTTAGCAGCATAACTTTACGAGGCAAGGCAAGGCAGGGCCAAGGGGGAGGAGCGACGTAGGAGCTTGGACATCCACATACATAACTTTGTACGAGGTTTCCGAGGCACACAAAGAAACAGCAACCAAGTTGAGAAGACTGGGGCGGGGCTGGGCTGGGCTGGATGGCGTATGTAGGTCAAGCGCAAGCACAGGGTGAGGAAGGCAAGGGAGGGGAGGGCAAGGAAGCTAGTTGGTGCAGGTGAGAAGGTGCGAACGAGTGTTGAATGAATAATCTCGCTCCAGGATGGAGACGGACGGGTAAGACTTTCGTTACAAGGTCGCCGTGTCGCCGCTCCGTGGCTGCTGAGCTGCGCCTG